CTCTCTTCCACCTTCAATACCACGACTGAGGTGCCCTTGAGCAAGGCACCGAACCCCCAACTGCTCCCCGGGCGCCGCAGCATAAATGGCTGCCCACTGCTCCAGGTGTGTGTTCACGGTGTGTGTGTGTGTGTTCACTGCTGTGTGTGTGCACTTTGGATGGGTAAATGCAGAGCACTAATTCCGAGTATGGGTCACCATACTTGGCCACATGTCACGTCACTTATTACTTTGTAGGGGGCATGACAGATACTTTAAAAAACACAGGGCCAAGATCAGAAGAGCAGTTGTTTTGTTTAGAAAACTTTGATGAATACAATAATTCTAATGCAAGGAAAAGAAAACAATCCAAATATTAAATAGTTTCATCTTCAATATTGGCATTAAATTAGTATAAAAAGGCAGAAATGGAAATTACTCGAGGACAGAGTCAAATTCATGGCAACAAGCCAAGGCTGAGATGAGAGAGATGAAAGATACCATTTAGGCAATCTGATTATTTCTGCAAGAATAATAAGGAACTCTTGGTCCTGTTCTTGTTAAAACGAGGACAAATGTGCAGTTCACAGTAAAGTCAGGCCACATTGGATTATTTACAGCACTTTGGTTGGTTGGGTGAGTCATATCTCATTACGCTTTCCAGTGGGGGTCATTGTGAATTGGAAAGGCCCCTGCAACGTCGCCTCCTGTGAGAGGTCATCATAATAATCAGTACAAAACAGACTGTGTCATGTGACTGCTAAACAAGCCTCAATCCCATCATAGCCACAGAGTGGGGAAAACAGAAACTTTGCCACTCATTTGGACAAACACCTCCAAGGACATGAGCTCTCGTAAATGCCTGCGAAGTATTGCCAAAGTTCCCCCATGGAGGCAGAAGAGGAAATTGACTGCTGTGTTTGGATTCATTTCTTCTGCACGCTTCACCACATGCCCCTGATTATTTTCAGCTCTGCCAAGTCAGTTTCTAATTTCTACAGCCACCAAACTTGCGTTTTTTAGTAATAGAGGGAACATTTAACCTTTTAAACCTAACAGCATAGCATCTGGTCTTCAATTAATCAAAGAGGGTTTATGTCACACTCATCTTGGTCAACGCTTAGATGTTTATGCCTCCAGCAGTGCTATGGAAGAACCGTTTTGGGTTCCCCAAAGAACCTCTCAGTGATCAGTTCTGAAAAGAACCATTTTTTCTTAGTGTGAAGAACATTTATAATCTAAAGAACCGTTTTCCACTGTTTAGGACCTTTTGTGGAAAGGTTTAGTGGATGTCAAAGGTTCTTAATAGAACCATCAATGCCAATGCCACTCTTTTTTTAAGAGTGCATGGTTAGGGTTCTTCATGAACCATATATGCCAATTACAACCTTCATGAAATGGCTCATGACAGACCTCTTTATAAAGCATAACCCTCCATATATATAAAAAATCTGCTCTTCCTCTCTTTTTTCTCTGCACTGTAACTCTGCATTGCGGTACTGTGAGTATTTTCGGCTCTTGCTTATGATGTTCCTAATTTGTAAGTCACTTTGGATAAAAGTGTCTTCTAAATGAAAAGGCAACAATTAAACAAGCTCTCACTGTTTGCATTTAAGCACTTAAAATTCAGATCCAATGGGAATCACCGAGTATATGGAACAAACATCAAATAATAAACCAATGTGAGAAATGAATGATAAATGTCTCCATCTAGTGAATCAAATCATCAGTGCACTTCAAAAAGTGGTATGCTTTTGTGTTTGTATGTGAAGTGAGACAGAGAAAGAGACAAAGAAGAAAATATAATTTTCCCCTAGAAAACGGATCCAGTTTATTTACAGCTATTTTGTTTAAAATTTTAAAGGTGATGTGTAATTTTTGTGACTCAAGTGGCAATAGATGGAATTGCAGTTTGTTTGTTTGAGCCAATGAGGTCTTTTATGTCTTGAGTTATCCATATAGCATTTACATTCATTTCAATGGGAGTTGCTCAGCTAGCGCATAACCTACTTGAAAGGTACCTGCCTTGCTGCCATCTTTTTTAATGAGCACTCAGTTAAACATATTATGCATAAGTCCTGTCCTTGTGAGTAAATGAGACACGCAATGACAGATACTAGTCTGGCATCAAGACAATCTCCTTTCCTAAAAAGCACCCAAGAGGTTGTTCAGGGGAACAGCAGTTTTGAATTATTCATTCAGTTTTAGATGCATCCCATCTACACTTCTGCTAGAAGTAGACGTATATTAACTATGACCATATAAAACGGCATAATTCATTTGTACCATTCAATTCAGTTAATTTAATTCTGTTTATTAAGTGTCCTTGTGAATGTGAACTTTTGATCAATGCTGTATGTGAGTGGTCATTTGCTAAGCGTAATTAGCATTCGCCTACTGCTCTCGGTCAGGACAACTGTCTGGGGCATAGAGTATCAGAACACAGTATCTAATGTAGTGAGTTTAGCTGCATCCTGATGAATTCTCCCACTTCATTTGTATAGCAAAGTATGGAAATTACATTTTTTTAAAGTAGTTTTTGAATGACTGTGATAAACCACTTTTTGGAAACACAGTAAAGCAAATAAAATCTTGACAGTGTTATCTTAAATTTTATTTTAGGGTAAACTACACCTTTATGTCATCTTTTTTTTGGGAGCTATTTTGAAGAAGAAGAAAACATATGCTGTTATGTAAATAAATAATGAAAGTTGGTGAGCTTCAATGTTGTTTTTGACCCTATTGACTTTCATTGTATGGATGGACCAAAAGCAGTTTTATTTTGCGCTTACTCAGAGCTTTTGCCCTGACCATAATCACATTTTAATAGCTTTCAAGCAGTAAGTAAGACTGCAATTAACATTGAATTATATCCAAAAGCAGCAACCGGCTTTAATCTGTATGGTCACTTTGTGACATTTATGATCAGGTTAGTGCAATTCATCGTTCCTTCTAAATCCGATTTATCCGAAAGAGAGAAAAACAAAATACCCTGATGATTTCTCCTAGCTGATTGGATTAAAGCGGTCTTTCTCCATGATGAATGACCACTTAAGTGAAATATTTTAATTAGCAATGGCCATAAATAAATTCTGCATTACAGGGCAAAAACGTGGCAGGAAATTAAGTGACTTTTTAGTCTGTGGAATTTTGGAACCCAGCCATTAATTTATCAACAGGGTATGTGCTATAGATGGAGGCTGGAGCTAGAATATATCAATCACTTCAGCCTGTCTGTGGCTTATGGCCAGGGTGTTTGTTAAGGTTCTGCTGAAAGCCACTGCTATGGGAATTCAATTCCCATATTTGTCTAGTTTAATCATGAAATACTTAATATCTGTATTAATATGTGCAGATGTTACCTGTGTTCTCATTATGTAATTCATGCATAAAAATGGTGTACAAAAAAATGCTGTAAGTTGTCATCCTGAGCTGTAAAATTAAAGTTCACCCCAAAAAATAAAACTTTGCTGAAAATTGCCTTTTGCCCGTGCTGGTGAGCCTTTTACCCTAAGTGTGGGGTAAAAGCCCACCCCCCCTCTCACCACTACCCTATATAGGATATTTCAAAGCATGGGAAAAAATCACTTCTAACATTTGGAATATGTTTTACAAGAAAATATATCATTTCAGTTTTTCTTCAAAATTTCACATTTAATTCAATGTTACTTGTCGTTTCCTCATAATTGTTTGTGAAATTTACTAGCAATTTCTCAGTGAAATTTGTTTCTACCCCATTTTTTTTAGGGAAAAGTCTTCAGTCATTACCTTCAACAGGTATGAAAACAATAGGAAAACAAAGCCTAAACCCGGACATTTTAGGAAGGTTAGAAATTCTGGCCTGGACATGACTGGGGAAAAGAGGATGTATGGTCACCCTAGAAGTACTAAACCTGGAAAAACAGACAGACAGGAAATGTGTTAATAGTACTAATAGTGCTACCTGACAGAGAAAGACTTCTCTATAACAAGAGGACACAAAAATGATCATGTTTTTCAATTTCCTTCCTCTTTTTAGCTGCCTCAAACCACATGGAACAAAATGCTCCATTAAAGCCAGAGGAAGAAGCCAAGTCCAAGACAGAACCTCTCGCTAAACATGGTGAGAAAAGTCACACATCCTGCTTGTTGATAATATCAGAAAACCTTTTTATTTGTTCTGGATATTTCTGCAGTGATCTATATTTAAAGGGGTCATATGACGTTGCTAAAAATAACATTATTTTGTGTATTTGGTGTAATGAAATGTGTTTATGCTGATTTCTAGTCGTGTCCTCTTTTGGAAGACCAAATAAAGTAGTTTCGCTTTCACAACGAAACACACAGCATCTCCACGACATGGCGGCGGCAACAACAATACTACAGCGAGAATCAAAGTTATGCCTTCTTTCTTTGCATGAACATTTGGGCGGTGTTATGCAAATCTTCCCACACAGTGAAGTAGACATGTGCTGGCGTGTTTAAACGAGGCGTTTTAGGAGGGCGTGGACGAGTCTTAACTTTTATAAAGAATATCTCTTTGGGTTTGAGACTTTGCAACTTTAGGGATCTTATCTATGCACGAACAGCTTGTAACACTCCAAAGAGAAAAGAAAACTTGAAATCGCATCATATGACCCCTTTAAAGGTGCACTAAGCTATTTACTTTTTTTGGTTTGTTTTGGATTTTTGTTGGACCTTTTAGCACATACACAGCATTAGTGTTATTAGTGCCATTGCAGAAATATCTTTAATACTTTTCATATGAATCTTATTTATAATTTGTGTATTTGGTTATTTTTAGTTGAAGCTCCATTGAATGCATCACATTTGCCACTGCAGAGAATGTCCAAACCATCTGCACAGGAAGCAGGTGAGAGTCACACATTTCACACACGTGTACAAACACACACTGTGGCGGGAGGAGCAAACATCAGACACAGTGGGTGTGGCGTCAGGCCTCAGAGAGGCTTTTATTAACAGAAAATAAACAGTGTCCAGAAAAAGGGAATAAAGTATCCAAAATAAACAGGGGATCTGGTGTCCTCGTCGTGTTGCGGGGTTTGTGAAGGTGGGGCAGTGTTTGAGAAGGAAGGGTCCAGGTAAGGGACGGAGTCCGGCGGCCGCACGCGCTCCCCTCTCGGGTCCGGGGCGCGAGGGGCGGCGGCTTCATCTAGTGGCTTCGTCCTCCTTGGCCCACGGCACTTCCAGGAGACTAAACGGCCCAGCATCCTGGCCCGACAGCCGTCTCCCTCAACGCTCCCTTCCTGGACCCACGAGGACACCAGCGTGCATGCATACCAGACCAGCATGTGGCGCTGTAATTCTGCCACAGAGATGCAATAAAACCGGAGAAGAAGACTTGGACTATGCGCATAAACCTTGCGCGCGGTATACAGACGAACATGGAACAATACATTTATTAATCTGTGTTAATGTTAGTTAATAAAAAGACAATTGTTTAGTGTTTATTCATGTTTTTGTTTCTGTTACGTGACGTAGCGGTGTCTGACTAGGGGCGAGACGTGGGCTGATGACGTCATCGTTTCAGAAAATATA